ATGTAACTTTTTTTTTTATTATGTAATGAAATGCCTTTCATGCATTTCTAACTGTGGCAAAGGTCCAATTACTTTGGAATCGGTGTGTTTACATTTCTTACGTTTCTTTCACTTTTGTCTTGATCCCTTTGTTGAGATAAAAGATCGGAGATGTGTGGTAGTTTGCCCAAGTTTCACTCAAGGCTTTTTTCTTATTATTTCTGTTACATTGCTTCTACATTTAAATTAAAAATCTTAAAAATCAAAAGATAATCAATATAACAATGAAAAAATGCAATAGTGTTTTCAAGACACATTTACTGAAGTTCTCTTCTTCCTTCTTACCAAGTGACATACTATATATAGTGGTAGATATCCATCTTACTGATTGAGCAACATACTGTGTCTGTTTTTAAAAGGAAATGCGAGTCAAGGTTTCTTCTCTGTGTGAACGCCGGACACCTAACACCATTTTTCCTATTTCACACCTGAAGAAAGCTATTAAAAGTTTGGGGATTTTCCACAATATCCTGTGACCTTTAAATAGCAAATGCAAAGGCCTCTGTGAATTGAAAGTCAGATTCCCAAATCCCAAACAGGAACTCATGCCCACAGCGGAGTGGAAATCCTCCTCCTTTTGTAACGGGATGGGGAAGGGGGGCTCTTCGTGCATGCCTGAGCATCGCCACTCCTGTGCAGATGTCAAAATATCCTCCTTTTATTGCATGCTTTGTGGCATGTTGTATCTTGTTGCATGTAACTCTTAAGCGTACTGCTTAAAGGGATAGTTCACCCAAAAATGGAAATTGCATCATCATTTACTCATGTTTTCCAACCCTTCACAAATGGAGATATTTTGGAAATGTATTTATTTATTTAAATAAAGAAATGAATTGCTTTGTATTTATTTATTTATTTATTATCCCCACAAATTCACACAGATGCACTTGCAGAATCACTTTAAAAAAAAAAAAAAAGGGTTCCAAATAGGATGTTTTCACAGGAGTGCCACAGAAACATTTTATTTGGTTGATAAATTTTTTCATAAGATCCTAAATGATGCTTCCAAATGATTACAAATTATTAACTTTAAAGCCAGCTAGATAACATTACTTTGGTAACTTATTTAACTAATTTAACAATTCACAATAATGTTCAATATGTTCAGGCTGTTCTTTTCTTATTGTCGAGCCCTTTTTATGTATTTGTTAAACATATAAGGTCAGTGCATTTAGAATTAGACGTACCACAATTAAAAACACCACTCATTTATAGCTATTGTTCAAAAATATTGCTATTTCAAAGACAGTTATAATAGACACGGTCACTACATGGGAACAGGTACAAAATAATTATAACAGAGCACCAGACTTGATTTCACTCTCATTTGCAATGAGTTTCTAAACACAGGAAAAGTTGGATGTTGAACACAGAATGTCTCTTTAGTAGTGGTAATGAGGTATTTACAAAGATATGAAATAAAAAGCGCTGGTGCGTCATCGTCTTCATTGAATTTAGTGTAATTCAGAGTCGTTCTCTGTCTGTTGGAGCACCAAATGTCCAGACCCACTTACGTCATCCAGAGGTTTCTGTTTTATTGTGAGGGAAATTTTGGATGGCAGGGGCTCTCCTGACATAAAAGTGTCCAAGGAATGAGGTTTGTCCTGTGCCAGTGTGCAGATGGATGCATGGGATGCCAGAAGCATTTTCAGCTGCTCTTTCTCCTGTTGCAGGCAGCTCACCTGCCTCTGCAGCACGACCTGCTCCATGTGCAGGCGCTCAGTCTCCTGAAAACAAATTCACAGCTGGATCCCATTAGCATGTGATGCTGGTAATTACATAACAGATTCCCCAAAGCAGAGTGTACTGCATTCTTAAAAAATAAAGGCTGCAAAAGGAGGTTTTCATAGCAATAACATAGAAGATCCATTTTAGGTTCCCTAAAGAACCTTTAAAGAACAGTCTAAAGAACATTTTAATATTCTTAAGAATATTTTCCCACTAAAGAACCTTTTGTGCATTGGAAAGTTTCAATGAAGGAATAGTTCATTCAAAAATGTGCTCACCCTCAGGCCATCCAAGATGTAGATGAGTTTGTTTCTTCATCAGAACAGATTTGGAGAAATTTAGCTTTACAGTACATCACTTCCTCACCATTGGGTCCTCTGCAGTGAATGGGTGCCGTCAGAATGAGAGTCCAAACAGCTGATAACTCCTGATAAATCCACACAACTCCAGTCCATCGGTTAACACCTGAAGCAAAAAGGTGCATGTTTGTAAGAAACAAATCCATCATTAGAGCGTAGTAACTTTAAACCGTAGTTTCTGGCCAGTCTATAATCCATAATATTGCTTTCTCTCCATTGAAAAAGTTTATCCCCTGTCCTCTCATATCAAAATTCATTAATTTGTTTAGTACTGTTTTTGCTTGTAAACGGTGCTTGATCTGTACGTATTTCTCTCCTGATTCAGACGAGATGACTTTTTCACTGAATGGACTGCTAGCTGAAAGCAATAGACTGACGTTAAAAATGTCTTAATGATGGATTTGTTTATACAAACATGCAGTTTTTCACTTCACAAGATGTTAATTGATGGACTGGAGTCATGTGGATTACTTGTGGATTACTGTGATGTTTTTATCAGTTTGGACTCTTATTCTGACGGCACCCATTCACTACAGAGGATCCATCAGTGAGCAAGTGATGTAATGCTAAATTTCTCCAAATCTGTTCAGATGAAGAAAGAAACTCATCTATATCTTGTATGACCTGAGGGTGAGTAAATGCTCATTTTCATTTTTGGATGAATTATTCCTTGAAAGTTCATGGAAACACTGATGCCAATAAACAACCTTTGTTTTTGAGAGTGTGACTGTCCAGTGGAATTCTTGTTTCGATTTCCCAATTGAAACTATATGGAAACATTCATTTATGTGTTGTTAATACTTGGATGATTCATTCATCTTATGTCATTCTTAACAGACTCTTTGTACAATTACAGAAGTCTCAAGTTAAAACTGGACAAACAAGATGTATCAGAAAGGTGCACCACCCTGAACACAATATGAAAATAAAAATGGCAGTGCAGCCCTATTATTCACCTCCTGAAGAAGGTCAATAAGTTCTCGTCTGCGGTTGCGGCATTTGGCAGCTGCTATTTTGTTGCGTTCTCTTCTCCGTCTTATCTTCTCCTCTTCATCTGGAGTGAGCTAATAATGAATCAATATAACAGTATTATTTAAAAAATTGGAGTAATATATTTTCGTCCTTCTTTACTTTATTCATCTGTTACTTTTTAAAGATAAATGCAGTTAGAGAGAGAGAGAGAGAGAGAGGAGACTAGTTGTCACAAGCACTGTATCTCAGTGCAAGTTTAACATATATATTGCATTTTGGTTTAAACATCTTAAATAAGAATATTTTGTGTGAATTCACTATCAATATCATTATAGTTTGCTAGCTGTATAACACTCCTTCGGGCAGAAACCATCTAATTAAGATAGTTTTTCATTTTGTTAAGCATATTTTGTATACACTGTAATAATTTATTATTTATTAATGACATATAATATTATTTATTAACCAAAACATTTACATTTTACATTCTGAGTTTATTTTACGCATTAGTTTATACAGAAATAATAATATGCTATAATATGTTGTATTTTACATGTATATTTCTTTTGAAGCTTTCTTTCTGAGCTGCTGTAGGTTCACTAGTCTGCTCCAGACTCTCACTGGGCATCACCGGCTCGATTATCCAGCGCAGCTCTTGTCTCGATGTGACTGCACTGACAGTGGCGATAAAAGGGCTTTTGGAAATCTGCATCTCGACCTGGCTGAAAAGAGGAGAGAGAAAAAAAGAAAGATGCGGTAAATGAAACTAGAAAAGATGGTAAATATTGCGTTTCTAGCCAACATATGAGTAGATATATGGTTAAAACATGCGAATTCATTGACCTAAATCATAATTACTCACCTGATAGAACTGGAGATATCGCCTCCAGAGATGCAGTTTCGTTCATTTGCGTTCATTCCAAATATCTCCAAATTAAATCGTATTTTGCCATGGATTTATCCTGGTTCAGATGTTGATATTCCAGTTCCACCCATGCACTTTTCAATCAGTGCAGCAACAGGCATTCACTGGCCTAGTATTGTAATCATTTGAATGACGAATGTCTCCTAAAAAGGGCAATTGCGTCAGAGCGCAAGCGTTTCATGGATGTGGAATTACTGCGTTACGTCATGTGTTTCCACGCACTAGCGGCACACGCTCCATCAGGGAAAAAGAAATACCTAATATATATGTGAAGATACACAACAATATAAACACATGCTCTATCAGTGTCTTACTGTTGTTAAACTTAGCCAGCATTATTTTATATACAAAAATACAAATAAAAATCATTAAAAAAAAAAACATTATCATTCTTACATTTTTATTGTAGTTGTATTGTATTGTACTGTTTTTTCCCCCAGCAGGGTTAAAAGATAAATTCTTGAGTCAA